GGTTCCCGAAGCACTTGGGTGTAAGACCTTGGAGGGTTTCCATGGCATCCTTAGTCAAGACCTAGGGGGTTCCCGAGGCACTTGGGTGTAAGACCTTGGAGGGTTTCCATGGCATCCTTGGGCTAAGACCATGCAGGGGTTCCCATGGCACCTGGAGTAAGACCCTGGAGGGTTTCCAGGGCATCCCTATATGTTTATATGCATAGATTATGTGATTGATATGGTTTATGCGGTTATGTGGATTATGTGAGGTATGCTCTGGGGAACTCACTAAGCTTCGTGCTTACAGTTTTGTTTATGGTTTCAGGTATCATCGGTTTGGAAAGGAAGGGTCCGACTTGATCGCAGCGCACACACCCGTGATTTCCGCATTATGTGATTTTGGGACGTAACTCTGATTAATGTTTTAATTAAACCATGTTTTTGAATGTTTGCAATAAGTGACACTTGTGTTTGACTATACTGAAAAATGAATTTTTTACCTTGGATTTTTGGGTCGTTACACCTTCCCAGTTAAGCTTGAGTGTTTATTTACATACAATCATAAAGTGAATGATACGATCCACAATAATCCTAGATCATCCCGAAATTACGCTTTGGCGCCTAATTTAGGATGTGAGAACTTGAACGAGAGTACAAAGAGTGAGTAGTTGAGAGATTGTATTTGTCTTATTGAAGTCTTCCATGAAGGTGGTATTTGTATTGTTGTTGTGGGGAGACAATATCTGCTATTTGGCTTCAAATGTTGTTGGTATGGTGCGGTTTTGCTAGACTTGTCTATTGTGCTCTTATTAGGAAGTGAGCATAACATTATCCATTGTCCGTTGTGATAGATTATGTCTATTGTTGTTATCTTCATGGAAGATGCTTTGGCGCCAAGTTTGGAGTGCGACTTCGATCCTTTTATTCCGAATTGCAACGTTGGAGTCTGGCCATCGAGTGGGGTATGCCACTAATATTTATTAAGAAAAGTAAATAAATGAATGCAACCAACAAGTTTGTAGCCCAACGGTATCAAGTGTATTGGAAGTTTGTTTATCCAGTCTTGTGGTTGACAAAATATATAGATTTATGAGTAGAATTAATGTGTATGTGAGTTAGTTGTTCTTAAAAAATTATATAAATAAAAAACAAAAAATAAAAAATGAATGCAATAATTGTTATACATAGTTTTTCTTTCAAAGTAGAACTATTATTATGAGCATTTTTATACAAAATTTTCAAATGCGACGTGTTATAGAACTTCTCATGCATATACGAATTATATTAATAGTTTCTCAACTCGTTGTAATTATTCTAATAAAAAGAAAAATGAAGCACAAGTTTACAAAGTCAATAACTCAATATCATCACATGGAAAGAGTCGTTGTCGGTGGACAAACGACGTCGTAGAGTATTTCTTGTTGTTGGGACCCATTAATGGAACACAGCGTTGGTCATGCTTATTAGATGGTGTAAGCCAATGCAACATCACATTTATTGCTCATATCACTAACCACTCAAATGTCAAACGAGTGACATTTCATAAACAGCTCGTCCTTTTATCGTACGATTTAAGTTTTAAATACAATTGAAGCTTAATGAACTCAGTCTTTATTCCCTTTAAGTTGGAAATTTAAATAGGAATAAATTTGAAATGACAAGTTGAGTTTGAAGAATTGTAAGTGATTGAATATTTCATTCTGGTCTTTATATTATACTTTGATTTGAATTAAAATCAAGACTTTCTATTGTGTATAGCCTCAGAGATATTTTTTAATAAGATAGTCTCAATGGTTTGGAACTTTGAATCAAAACAAAATTATTATTTTGGATTCCAGATTTCTTTGTGTATTGTCTTACTAAAGTCTTCAATGAGTAGTGAAGAGATTGTTCCTTAGTTCATATTGTCTTTAAAGCTTGGTCCTGCAATTTATCGCAACTTTTATTTTAAAAGTCCATCCGAATTTGAATAATACAAAAGGAATTTTATTTTATTTCTTTTATTGTAGTCGACTAAAGTGATAGATGATAGGATAACATGTTAATGTTAACCTTATATATATACTTTTTAAAATGTGTTTGAATTATGAAAACCTATACAATTAAATTATAATTTAGTTGGTTCAAATCAAATGTGAGTTTAGGTTTTAACTATTTTGGATTTTTGGTCTATACTTTGAAAACCAAAATCAATTTGGATTAGGATTAGATCAGATTAAATCAAATACGATCCATTAAAACAAACACCCTTGATCATGAGATAACAAGTATTCATAATCAGAATGTGCTCTTCGAGATCTAAAATCAAATTGGAGTATATGCATATAGAGGAAAGTTCAAAACATAACTTAAATACATGGGAGAAGTGCAAAACTCATAAAGATCACATGACAATATACATATGTGCATAAGGTTATGATGCGAGGATGTTAATGTAAAAGAGATGTGGCAGTTTAAACATGTTCATTTTTTCATGAATAGATTAGGTTTATATTTTATCTTTAATATATATAAATATAAAATTAAATGGTTTAACTAGAACATGGATTGAATGGATCGGAAGTCACCTGTGTATTTACATACATAAATACAACTTCTTCAACTGTTTTTTGTTAGTAATTATAGTCAACATTAATTACTCAGCAACAATTAACAAAAGTAATATTAAAAAAAAAAATAGAAAAACAACCCGATTTAAATTTATTCGACACCAAACTCCAAACCGAACCGCAGATTGTTTTTTTTATTCCTATTAAAAATAAAGAAAAATAACAAACCCTAAGGCCAAAATGAGTGTAATTATCAAATAATTGTCATTATTTGGTCAAATATTTTATAATTTTATAACCCAGTATAATTGACAACACATGCTAAACATTTTATAATCCAGTATAATTGGTAACACATGCTGACATGTTTCCATGACATAAATAGAAATCATGGCCTCCAATAACGACCCAAATGTTAACTTGAATACAATAGTTGTATAAAGAAATAATATCTATCTTTATAACAATAACACTTAAAGACATATTTTGGATAGTTCCAACTAAATTATTTTAGTTTTATGAATTGGTAATTCACAAAAAAGGGTGATCATATTCATACCTTTACAGCTGACGTACCCTCGTATGTTTCGAACCGCAAGTGAAGTCTGACTGATTCACTGAATTGACCATAAGCTCACGCTCTGGACTTTCGAGCTCAAGTATAACCTATATAAAGAGGACAATTATGTCGAAAAAGAATTTTGATTTAATTTATAATATTTTATTATGGGATCCGGGAAAATGATTGTAAAGAAAGAGTAGAAGTCGACTGTCTAAATTAAGATGCGAATATGACCACTGTCATTATGATCTCACTGATTGCGAATATGGCCACACACTTGAATCTTGTTTCATGCCCTTTAGAAGATAAATTATTTCTTTGTATGAGGCGGGACCACCTCTAGATCATGTAGGCAAAGTTTTAGATATTTGTTGCTAAGATGCCTCCAAAACTTTGTTTAGAGTGTAAACTCGATCTCATTCTCGACATTGACATAATTGATAGATAGGTATACTAAATCCAAGTGAGGTTCTCATCACTAAATGATTATATTGAGGTTTCAAAACTATATCTCTCGCGACAGTTCAAACTAAGTCTCCACTTAGAGGCTTTGCGAGGGGATTAACACAAAAGGTATCATACTAAATCAGTTGTTTCACAAAACTATGTCTCTTACACAACATTGTATGATTAACACAAAAGGCATTAGGTGTTGACTTGGAAGCATAAGTTTGAAGAGGTGTTGTTCTAAGTAAAGAAGATTTTGGTATTGGGACCAAGATGAATACATTTTACCTTGAAACACTTGTCCCCAATATATGGATATTTTATTTGTGTTTTCCCATTTTTTATGATAATATGTGCATACATATAAATTGTTTGAAAACTATATGTATATTATGTGTTTTGTTTCTACCTAGTGTGATTGTTTATGAGTAGTGGCGAGTCTAGAATTAAAACCCATGTGGTTCCCTGACCGAGTTCAACCGGGCTGGTTCAAGAGAAAACCGGCTTCAACCGGGTCAGTACAACCAGAAAAATAACCGATTCAGCAAATATAAAAGTTGGTGGTTAAAGGACCGACCCCAAATCGGTCCTTCCTAATTATTTTTTTACTAAAACCAACTTATACTTGGAATAAGTCGGTCTAAACCATGCCCCAACAAGCTTATGGTGCGGAAGTGTGAAAGAGGAAATATCTATTTATAATGGAATACACCTCACCTCTTTCATTGTTGGGATAGTTGCATGCATTGCATTATCTATTCAAGTTGTTTCTTCCTTAAAACAAATCTTTTTGGAAAAAAATAAAGTTCTGTAAAATGGTTTTCATCGGATTATCGAATCCGAATGTTTTGAACTCATGCGAGTATCTATCTATAATTCTATATATATGATTTTGTGTGGGTTTTGATTGTTGAGAATTGCCTAATTAAGGCACGCAATCACCTTGTATTGTTTATCTATTTGTGAAGTTTATATGAGATTTGACATTTATGACAATGTACTTTGACTTATGTCATATTTTACCCCAAGCTAACTATTCATGATGTTGTTTTAAGAAGGTACGGGTTTGTACATTAGTGTATGAACTGAAGTGTTCATTCATACGTTATCAATATAATGTCTAACCCCGGGATCGTACTCATTAGGCTCCCCATAGCCAAACCTACTACATTGATAAATTTGCAGGTTAGTGGATATTATCAGGAGCTTAGAAGATTTATAAGCTTGAACATTTAGAAGACCCTTGGTTTGTAATGACTTCTTAGACCTTTGTTTTGATATCTGTTGTGACACTCTCGCATGAAATGTTTTTCTTAAACCCTAAATGTTTGGAAATTTATGTTTGGGACCGTTATCCATATTTAAACTCTGAAAATAATTT